GAAATAGAATGTTTATTTTTCAAGGTGGTATACGACTTTTTATTTGGCTTCAAAGAATCATAATAGGTTTTGACACCTGTCTCGTTCGATGCTTACATAAATTTCTCAGAATCCAGGCTGACATAATCATCAATGCATTACAATTTACAGGTGTCTCAAATTTTTACGTCTTCAAGAGTCGCTTGCAAGAGTATGCTCAGAGAGCAGGGCTCCCAACGCCCGTTTATGAGACTATCAAGGAAGGCCCTTCTCATGAGCCTTCCTTTAGATCAACAGTTATTGTAAACAATGTTAGATATGATTCTCTACCAGGATTTTTTAATCGCAAGGCAGCAGAGCAGTCAGCTGCTGAAGTAGCTCTCATGGAACTTGCTAACTCAGTGGACACAAAGTTTGGCATCACTCAACCAGTGGTAATTATATTAGAGGCAAAAACACTCTTTGTTCATTATGTATATTAGTTAAACTATTGACATTTATAGCATAATGTATCAATTTTGTACTCTTCTTAATTCATAATAGAAGAATTAGTTCGAAGTGATACTGGGCACATAGAAACTAAAGGGGGAAGAGCGGTTTTGGGAGAGGTTTGGCAGTTGTGTACCTTGGCATATCCCTTTCAATAATTGAATAATTTGAGATAGACAAGGAGAAATATTGAGATGAATTTTGAAAGTTTTATGGACCACCTTTTTCTTGAGAATCGCCCTGCGGGCTATTAAAATGAATTTTTATGAAGTTTTAGCAGTCCTATGAATTTTGAATGTTAATTTTATAAGTATATTGGTGTTTTTCTTTTGTGACTAGTGCTATCAGTTGTAAAAGGATATGCACTTTTTGTGGGCAGTTGTCCTTAAACAAGGTTAATGAATCATATAAATAGTTTCTGCACTGCAAGCCATTGACATACAATTATGAATACATAGTTGCTGATTCTTGTCTCTGGTCCAAAAAAAAAAAGCGTGTATTGCATATTCTCCTTTTTCTTTGCTTACTTGACAAACGTATTGGCTTAACTTATGACATTCCACACATAGATAACCATAGAGACCTAAGAATGCCGACAAGTTTACAATTTGCAAACCAAAAGTCAGACATCATTTGGTTTGAATTTTTGCAAATGACTAGATTCCCAATTTTTAATTTATTATTTCAAGTGCATATGTTCGCATTTTGTCTAGTTGAATGAATAGGTTCTTAATTAGAAGCTGTCTATAAAATTATTTAAAATGGGTAAAATGAACATTGAAACATAAGCCCCTGTTTGGTGCCTTTTTTTTTTTTGGAAAAATATTGTTTTGAATAATGAATTTTTGGAGAATGTGTGGTTAAAAAGTGGGAAAAGTTTTGAGTTTACGTGTAGAATATTTTATTGTGTGAATCTGTAGTTGAAAATGAGCACGTAGAAAAAAGGGTTTTGAAAAAATGGGAGACAAGTAGGGGCTAAATGAAATTGAACTAATGTTTCCTTCAAAATTTCATGTTTCAATTTTTTCCCTCTTTCAAATCTATTGTCCTTTTCAAGTATATTAATTGGTTGCTCTCTTTACATTCTGATGTTACTCGGCAGTTTGTGCCTCTGGTACTCTTTCTTAATTTCCACACAAGTTTTGGGGTTCATAACAGAGCTGGGGATATCTATTTACCTAAGAAAATAAATGATTAATTTTCTGAAAAGAGAAGACTGAGCAACAAAGCATCTTTGTTAATGTGTTCCTTTTGATGTTTCTTCTTGTTTTTGATCTTTATTATTTATCTTGGTATTGTTTAACATTGACTTTTGGGTTTATATTTCAGCATGAAACAGGTTTATGCAAAAACTGGTTGCAAGAATATGCTCAAAAAATGAACCTTGCAGTTCCAATATACGAGTGCCATAAGGACGAGAGACAAGGCAATACGTTCACATTTTATTGTACTCTTGAAATTGGGGGCATCAAGTATATAGGAGGTTCAGCAAACACAAAGAAGGAAGCTGAGATTAAAGCTGCGAGAACCGCTTTATTGGCCATTCAGTCTGCTGCCTCTGGCTCAGAAGATCAAGTTGGGAAATCTGTTCACACTGTTCTTCCATACAAAAAGAAGGCAACAGATCTTGGCATCAGCACCCAGGAGACTGCTGCGGCCCTCAAACCAATGAAAACTCGTTTGAAGAAGCAGCAACGGAAGAAGAGGCGTGGAGTGAAGTGGGGTAAATGTGCTAAAGGTAAGATGGCAGGTGGTGGTATGGAGGTAAAGATGAATAATCAGGAAGAAGTAGAATTAGGTGGAAGTGATTCTATCTCCGAAAGTAAGATGGCTAGTAATTTGGAGGTCCATATGGATGGTCAGGCAGGAGAGGAAATGGGCTTAACTGATGCTGGACCTAAACCAACTGTAGTAGCGGCAAATACATGCGATGGGGGATCATCTTCTAATGCAAATCTTGAAAATGGTGTATCGACATAGTAGAGACGTGGGATTGACATCTCTTGATTAGCTAAGAGACTTAGGTGAGGGGAGGTAAGGTGAACAACTATCTAATGAAGGCATTTTGACCACCATTAGTTGTTTGTAGATGGCTGTCTTAAACAAGGTCTTTTAGTTGGGATAACATTATTAAATTTATGAGCATGTTTTAAGGATTTCTGAATTCATGAAGAGTATGGTTAGACAGGCTCTACCGAGATGCTTTATTCTTATACGAGTTATTTTAGGAGTATTATTTTGAAAGTAATAGGAGTGATCGGAAAAATGAGGCTCGATGTATACGAGTATTTTTTAAATACCATACAAGGGAGTCATATATATAGCAGGAGGAAAGCAAACGTGCTCTCGCGCGCAAAAAAAAAAAGAAAAAGCCCTTTGAAGTGAGTGAAAACTGAAAGGTCCCTCATTAAGTAGAAAAGATGATGGGAACAAGGTTAAGGGGTTAAACGGGTTGATATGGACGTCTTTTGATATATATTATTTCAAATAAAACTGTTTGAAAAAAGAAAAACTCAAATCAAAACTAAATCGTTTGGTTTGGTTTTAAATTGAGGTTTCGGTGTATATGTTTTACTATTTGCCTTAGTGTTACTAGTTTATTGATTATCAAATATTGTTCTACTGTATTAATAAAATAAATTCTATATATCAAACTAAAAATCTAAAATAAAAAAGATACCATATATTTATTTTCCCTTGTAAACATCTTCGTCTAAGCAAGAGAGTTATGGATTATAAAAAGATAAGACCATTTGTGAAGGACCCCAAAAAAAAAAAAATCTTCTCTGTTTGTTGTTAAGAAATTTCTTCCAAGGAAAATTTCATGTTACTTTCCAATTTTGCCAGAAATGGAAAAAGGGTTGGACAAGATATTCAAATTCAAATTTTAACCAAAAAGACACGTAAAGACTTGTTTGGCATGAAAAATTAAATAGTATCGGACAATATTAAACAGAAAAACTAAAATCTTTTTGATTATATAATACTAATGAGTATTGTGTACGAAACATGGATTCCGAGAATTATCTGTTACCTTGATTCATAAATTTAGAAGGATATAACTACTTGTGTTGTAATCAGCAAGAAACGAAAACATGAATAGACAGCATTGTAATCCTATATAAAGTTACATAAATATTCACTAACTTATAATCTGTCAGTATATGTTTGTTAATCCTTTATTATTTCCTGTCCAGATGGGATAAAAAAATCCTGTTATTTATAGTTTCTTTGAATGAATTCAATGCAAGTTGTATGGCAAAACCTCCTTCCAAGGCTGATGAATTGTTTGTTGGCTTTCTGGCTGCCTGCAAATAGACAAACTACACGGTGTGAAGAGTCGAGAACAGTCTTAAATAGTAAGTATGATATGTAATTTAAGATAATAAAATACTTCTACAAGAACACAGTAAACTAAGCGTTGTTATCAGTAAATTTGGAGTCAACTATATGAATATTCACTTTTTATGTGGCGTCTCTGTATTTCCTATTAACTAGTAAAGTGACAGCCCACCAAACAAGGCACGTCTAAGCGTATCTTCAACCGTTCTCATGTTCCGTTAAGCCACCCAACAACATGCTATCTTCATGTCAACAAAGTAATAATAGTCTAGACATGTACAAATGAAGCATATCATTGTATAGTTTTCCTTTTGTCCAGTTCAATGTTGGACCACAGAGATGTTTGGTTGGATTATCATGAATTCTAGCCGCTCACTATGTACATTGGTTGGGCTCCATGATGCTGAAGGCCACAGGCCAATCATGTGGTTCAAACCCGATAAATATTTGAAGATTTTAAGCTTTAATAAGAGGTGCGGAAAAAATAGGACGAAAGGTAAAGCTATGAAACATAAAACGCCATTCTTGCACAACAGAAGTACAGACTCAAGTTTCCAAATTGATGCGAAGATGACACCGGAAAATATTGTCAAAAAAAAAAAAAAAAGGAAAGGAAGAAAAGATAAGATAGGAAATGTCATTGGAGATAGAGACTCACAAACAGAGACAAAAATGACGTCCTACCAATTTTGGCGGTTTATTAACAATTCAAGATTGCCAAAACTTGGACGGTAATGTAAGATATTCTTGAGTGAAGCCAATTTAGTTTCTGTCTTGAAAGCAAATAGAAATCCCAATAAAATGAAATTCATATGCATTATTGCAAGTGGAGATAAGAAAGATGGAGACAGATTACCAATTATTAGATAAACAACTATGGGATAATGCAATTACAAATTTGAGATCATTAAGCAGTTGACTGTCGATGTAATCTATGTTTACACGGACACTTAGTTCTGCATTTACATTGGTGTAAATTATCTTAGTATGTTAAAATAAAAGGAAGAAATTCATTTTTGACATATTTTTATGAACACCTACGAGTTCGGAACCACACAAGTAAAACAAAGTGAAAAGTTCTAATTCTTACCTCAAATTCTTCCCTCCACAAGATCGGGACAACAATTTGAGGCATTTCCGAGGCTCATTGTATTCTCCACCCCATTCCCATCAAGGTGATGCATCTTCAGCTATAAAGTACGTAGTAAGAAGGCTACGGGAAAGAGGAGGAGATGAAAGAAATTTAAGCCCTGAAAGTAAAAGAAAAGTATAGCAATAGATAGATCAGTTCAAACAACTCGTAAAAAGTACGAAGCAGAAAATAGAGGAGAGCAATCCTTCTCTGTTTAGTTATTTTCATACATTTCTGTTTGAAGCTGCATAATCCATGCGAGGAAGAAAACCTTGTAACCCGATATAATAAACTGGGGTACCATCAGGATAATATAACCCGTAATTCCTTTCAGATGATGGCCCAGGTTTTAAATTCTCGTTAAAAAGTGCAAAAACATACACATCAATAGGTACTGATGGCTTCGCTGGAGTACCCTGGTTTTGCTGTACCCGACTCAGCAAGTTACTGTTATATAATCTAGCATTCTCCAGTGTAGCTCCTACCTCACTTGGATCGCCCTTAGATGGCCATCCCGTCTCAGAAACTTTGACTTGTATATCTGTATGGCCCATTGCTTTGATTGCAGCATAAACAGCATCAATTTGAGCGTATAACATGTTATCATATTTCAAGTTCGTAATTGGGTCTGTAGTCCCTGGATTAGGCTGGAAAAGCACATAGTCCAATGAAACCTGATCGGGGTTATCTTTGTATGCAAAAAAGGGATATGCGTTTATCAGAAATGGTGAATCAGTCTGTGAATGGAAATTTAGAATGCTCTGGATATACTCGGCTAGATCTTGTCGAAACACTCCTGCAGAAGGAGGGAAGGAGTTACCCAAGATTCCGGTTGAATGAGCCGTTGTAACATATACATCCTTGTTTATTCCTAGACCACGAAGAGCCCCATATACTGTCCGCATTGCCGGCAAAAGATAAGACATTAACTGAGTATCATTGCCTGTGAGGACCTCATTTCCAACGGTGAAACAAGTGATCTTGGTTTGGAAAATATAAGGTAGCACATGCTGTTGAATCCAAGTTTGAGCTTGAATAGGATCAGTCATCTTTTGTAGATACTCATTCCCTAGCCCGACCACAAATTCGACATTTGAATTTCCAAATGCTGTTAAGACATTTGGATTGGCATCATAAAGCTTCACTTTACTAATGTTGAGAGATTTGAGAAGATATGCCACACGGGAAGGTGATGGAAGATTGTTGGCAATCTGGCCATAATTAATTCCTACTCCGAGGCATCGGGTACTAACAAGTGAATCTGAACACAGTGAAGAAGAAACACACATTTTGATAAATTTAAATAGAATTTAGTTAGCACATAAATACCAATATAACAATGAAGTAAATTACTAATTGCTTAGTTTGCTGGACTCCTTAAATCAACATTCTGAATAGAATTACAAACACATCCAAAAAAATGTTAGTTCTTAATGAAAATAAAAATCCACACACATTTATATGGAATAATTTCACATTTAGGGAACCCAAAAATTCTAGTACTGAATAACAATAAAGGAGTTTCATTTGAGCACAATAGAATTGATTCAGGTAAATAAAAAATAATTTCTTGAAATCAAAGTGAATAAGGCAGAGAAGAAGAACCTGAAAGAATGAGGATCAGAAGAACCCGGAAGAGGATGGCCATTGCTATACGCCAGCTCTGCAGAATCTCAGCCACGACGGTGCTCTCTCTCTCTCTCTCTCTCTCTCTCTCTTAATGTATACGTGTTTGACATATTTATAAATTATATATCATTTAAGGCGATTCGCGTGAATTCTGAAAATCTGTAAAAGTAACATTTTTTCCAGGTGAAAAATGGATTTCTTTTCAAACTGTCTGTTCCCACGCAATTACTGTTGTTGCATCAAATTCTTTTCAACTTTTTTGGTCTTAATCAATGAAGAGAATGAGAATTACCTCATCAGTCCACTTGGTTTCGATTCGAACAATGAAAAAGAGAAATTCACACGACAGGATGGAGCACTCAGTGTTATTTTCTTATGACTATAATTGGGCCTAGAAAATTTTTGGGGTGGAGGACATGATTCTTATTCTTTCTTTTCATTTTGTCAATAAAATACATGTTCATGGAACGTGTAAGATTTTTTTTTACAAGAAAAAATATCTCCTCCTTGGTGAACTGATGGATGTCGATGCTGCGGTCCACCTTCTTTTAACCTAGTTAGTGGATTGCTTAGATAAGAACTATCCTGATGAGCCTTTCCTCGTCGGTTCGTAGCTGCGTCCCAACCGAAGTGATGTCGACGAAGAATGTCATGATTCTCACATGATTCTCAAACTCTTTGGGTCATCCATGATGACCTGATCATCATGCTTTCTGAGTTTTAGATGACTAATAGAAACAGTGGGCGTACATGTTTGTCAAAGTTTAAATCAATATGAAACAGTCAATTTAAAAGTTTAAATTGTTACAAATAGGTTACATATAATTCAAATCTTATCTCCAACGTATATCTAAGAATGTAATTATGACTCATTTCAAAACTAAGAAATAAGGTTTAAAACTTTAAAAATAGAATATTATTAAAAAAAATTATAAAATAATTAATAAAAAAATATTTTATTAATTAAATATATTAAGTTCACAAATTTATACAATTTGGTCACAAATTATCAAATTAATTGATTGCAAATTATTTCAAGGTCATAAATAAAAAAAACTTATAGTTCACAAATTAAAAAAATTATAGATCACAATTCATTTATCGATCACAAATTATTAAATTAATTGTCAAAAGCAATTTTTCAATTACAACTTAATAAATTGTGAGTTACGATCACATTTTTATATCACATATTATTTATTGGTCAGAAATTAACCAATTTATTGATAAAAAAACACCCACATCCCATTCCCATCCACCCACGATCACTGCACCACCGCCACGACCACCACATTCACTAGACTGTGCAAAACCACCACACATCACATCAACGCAAACCCACTTCATAGGAACGCAAAACCACCACCAAAGCAACCACAACACCACCACACAACAAACTTCGCTCCCATCATCGCGACATCACCAAACACCCGGCACTAGATCGCGAGCATCGTGCATACCTCATGTGACCACCACCAACAATACTATCACCACAAAAACACCTCAAAAACGAACTAAAAATCATCGCCACCACTGCCTGCACCATCACCTCTCCACTACTGCACAACCACAACCACCACCAACATAGCCCAACAACATAACATAAATGCACAACCACCTACACAGATAGAAAGCCAACAATCCAACACAAACTCACCACCACCACCACCATCGATGCAACCCCACCACAACATAGCACTGCCATCAACATAGCCCAACAATCCATCGCTGCAGGAGCTACGATGCGGGCCATGGATCATTGTGAGTGGCACCACATGTGGAATGAAGTCGTCGAGAGAAGTGGAATCAAGCATCGATCAGAACACCTATGGAATGAAGCAGCTTCGGGCATAGGGATGGCAACAGGGCGAGGCGGGGGCCCTCCCACCCCCGCCCTGCTAAGAATTCCCCTGCCTCGTTACTCGTTTAGGGCGGGGCAGGGTCTTTGCCCCGTTTACTACCCGTTTAAATTTTTTTTTTTTTTTAGTCTTTGATAATTTATTTTTATTGTCCATATTCTTATATTTAGACAAATAATTTTAATTGTTATATTCTATTAGAACTAATGAAAATTTTTATTTAAAGTATTGAATTCTAAAAAATAATTTAAAAAAAATTTAACGGGCGAGGCTCCCTTCACCCGTCCCCACCCCGAATCTGCCACGGGGCAAAATTCTCCGCCCCGTCCTCGATTAAGCGGGTTACCCCCCCGTAGATATCGGGTTTGTTGGATTTTTTTGCCATCCTTATTCGAGCAGCAGCAACGCCGCCTCGCTGAGCACATTAGTGCTCTCATAGAGAGGCACCACTGCGCTTAAGCAGCAAAGGAGGTAGTGGTTTCGGCGTCGAATGAGTGGTGGCTGTGGCATTAGAAGGTGGTGTAGGTAGAGAGCGAGAATGAGTAAAGGATGGAGAGGAAAAGAAAGAGTGGGAAGTGATTTTTCAATATTATTATTAATATTTTAAAAGATGATCTGAATTTTGAACAAAAAAATTTGAAATCTTATTTTATTTTTGAATTGGAAAGTTGAAAATCATGAGCGGGTGTAATTTCCACTAAAATTTAACTTGTTGGGCCTTCAAGCAAAAATTAATACCATCCAATATGCTGAGGATTTTTTTTTTTTTCTATCTCAACTTTTTGGGCGGACAGAGATTATAAAACTTTATTCTGATTCTTCTTCCCATGTCTTGTAGATAAAAATATTGATCCAAACAGCCGGAAAAACATGTGCCTTTTTAGTGACCTTTCTTTTCTACATTCTCCAAAATTATACTCCCCCGTCTCTCCCCTATTTTAATTAGTAGCACTTGAGTCTCCGTAGACCATTAAAAAGAAATTTGCAAAATTTCATTAAGTCGCGTTTTGAATTGCAAACAATCCCTCATCCTTGAAGCCTAGCCTCGGGAAAGAAGCACAAGTTGGGAAGTGCTACAAGTACATTAGAAGTGTCATAATGGTGTCCATACACACTCTCCAATGGTGGGGTGCCATGTGTCCATTATGAACACCATTATGGCACCCCTAATGTACAAGAAGAATTATTCGCACAAGTTACTAGTCGAACCTAATCATACTATTGTTCATATTTATGAAAACAGAGGCATGAAGTGCTTGGTAAATATCACTCTCCTTGTGGGTGTGAATCACACAAACTGAAGATGGATAGGAAATGCAGGTCAGCAACTAACCCTCGTTTACTTGGTTTTCATCAAGAAAGGATCCATTGGATTGATCAAGAAAAAGTCTAGGATGTGCGCATTATCTAGTCCAACTTGATCTTGTACACTGCCCTGGAAGATGCTTGAAACCGGACTCCACTTTCAAGGCAAAAGTTTTTACAATGCTCTTAACAGACCCCAAAGAATATGGGCTCTCTTAATCACACCTTCCTCAGTCATCGAAAAACTAATATAATATTTTTTTTAACTGCATTCACCTAAAGTTTATGAAAGTGATTTCTTGAATTCGGCTGACATTTCATTTTTCAGGCAACCAATTCATTATTATAGAAGAATAATAGAAATTAAACTATGCAAACAATAGTAAAGCAAAGGTAAACTGGCTATTCCTGATAGAAATGTCGGTACAGTGAGCAAAAATCAATCCCGACTCAGTAGAAAACCAACAAAATAAAACAATAAATATGATGTCTGAACGCAGTATCAAGACCAAAGATAAATAAAAACTTGCTATTACAGGGGAAAACTCCATTGCTTTAGCTCCACAAAACTATCTCTAAAACCAGTCGAACAGAAATAAAATATAATCTCCTTAAAAGATGCGCTGAGGCTTCCCCATTGTACTTTTTAGGTACAAGCATCTCACCTGATTTTACAAACAAAACAATTAAACCTTCAGTAACAAATATTGCACATGAAACCTTGTATGACATATTTGAATTCACAAACAACTACAGCGACCAAGAAAAAAAAACTCATGATGTCATATGGCAGCTATACAGCAGAGTAGAACAGAGTACGCAATATACAATTTATGATGGACGAACGGATTATATGCTACCAACTGGCACAACCAATCAGTTACAAACGTATGGTGTGACGAGGATATGTTAGTATTGCGAGCCGAGGACTAACCATAAGTATACATCACAAAAGGTGTAAAATATGCGACCAACATAAACATACTATACACTCAATGGCCAACTTTAAGGAAAATTCTCATTGAAAATATAGAAAACAGTGATAAAATGGACTCACGTTCTGCCAGTTTTTCTTCAAAAGTGAAACTAGAAAGTTGACACTCATTTGCACATTCTGAAAGATCTGCTTCTCCTCCATACCGCAGTTTCCTACAGCAACTCCCATGCAAAGCACTTTCTTCAATTGGAATTTCACTGTGGCCTTGGTTTCGTTGACCTTTGCTTCAAGAGATTCCTGATGAGAAACAAGAGTCGGGAACTTACCTGCGTCAAAATATAAGACAAATGGGTAAAAAATTGTAACCTAATCTATTCTATCATCATCATAAAAGCAAGATAGGTTAGGGGTGCATTTGCTCCACGACACGTGCAACGAAAACTTTTACAAGACAGGCCCAATGCAGATAATGTTATCAATGTGAAACAAATTAGCTTCAATAGAGCAGTATAATCAGTCTTTTTTGCCTCCATCTCAACCCAATAATGAAATTGAGAAAATTAGCTACTTTAACATAGGTGTACATGAAAACTTGCATTTCTCTAGTAGAACCCGTGAATCGTCATCTCATGTTCTTATTTAACATGTTCTCTACAACATAACAGAACATAATATGAAATATTCTATGATGTTAACTCATCAAGTGCACTTGCCTGCCTTGTTAAGACCAGGTCCTAAGAGACGGGGAATCTGCTTGATAACAGCTTCGGAGGCTAAGAAAGCATGATATCTTTTAGCAAGCTTCTTAACCAGTTTCTTGTTTTTGTTCAATTTTTTTAAAGCCTCTACGTCCATGGATTCCATACCAATTTTCTCTGCCTGCAGATATAATGGAAGATAAAATCAATCAAATACAAC